TCGACGTGGACGACGACATGCTGTACGGACCCTTCGCTGATGGCAGGGCGTGCCCTGCTACTGAGAGCGGTGCTGGGTGTGGCAGGAACTACGGTGCGACGTACATTTCCGTGTGGCCGCTTGCCCGCGCGCTGGACCCTGCTGTGCCCCTGCTGTTCCCTTCCATGACGCCGTCGATGAAGTACGCGGATCCCGCTGCGGGTGGACTGACGGCGCGGCAGCTGATCGGCGTCATTGCCGGCTGCGCTGCAGCAGCTCTGCTGCTTGTTGCTGTGCTGCTGTACTTCTGCCGCATCTCGCGTGACAACGCGAATGCACCGAAGGAGCGGACTGACCCCGTGACGCTTGTGTTCACTGACATCGAGAGCAGCACAGCGCTGTGGGCTGCGTGCCCCGAGACGATGCCCGACGCCGTGGCGACGCACCACCGGCTGATCCGCTCGCTGATAGCGAAGTACCGCTGCTACGAGGTGAAGACGATTGGCGACGCGTTCATGATTGCGTGCAAGAGTGCGTTCGCCGCCGTGCAGCTTGTGCGTGAGCTGCAGCAGGTGTTCCTGCAGCACGACTGGGGGACGAGCGTGATCGACGACGCATACCACAAGTTCGAGGAGGACCGTGCCGAGGAGGACGCGGAGTACGTGCCGCCGACCGCGCGCCTGGACGCTGCTGTGTACCGGCAGTACTGGAACGGCCTGCGCGTGCGTGTCGGAGTGCACACTGGGCTGTGTGACATCCGGCACGACGAGGTGACGAAGGGGTACGACTACTACGGCGGGACGTCGAACACGGCCGCGCGCACGGAGAGCGTTGGGAACGGCGGGCAGGTGCTGCTGACGCGTGCGGCGTACTTTTCGCTGAGCACGGCTGAGCGCGAGCAGGTGGAGGTGACTGCGCTTGGCGCCGTGGCGCTGCGCGGCGTGCCGAAGCCCGTGGAGATGTACCAGCTGGACGCGGTGCCCGCGCGCACCTTTGCCGCGCTGCGTCTTGATCGTGAGATGTGTGATCTTGACGATGAGAGTGATTTGGCTAGTGGTGATGGCTCTGCATCCACTGAGCGGAGCGGCCCCTCAGGCTACATTGCGTCCATGCTGGCTGTGCTGTTTGGCACCTTTGCAGCTCCGCAGCGACTGAAGGCGCTGCTCCCTTTGTGCCAGCGCTGGAGTGTCCGAATGCCGAGAGGGGCCGGAGCAGGGTGTGACCAGGACGTCTGCCGTGTGGTGATTGGGCGGCTTGCGGCGAAGGTGTGCGGTGTGATTAAGAAAAGTGTTTCTGGAGATTCAATTGAAGGGGGACTGCGCACAATGAGTTTGTCAGAAGGTGCTTTTATTGGGAGCGATGGCGCGTTGCGGTTGCGTAGATTTTCTGTTGAGAGAGCCGGCCTGCTCGGGGAGTTACATCGGAGAAGTGGCTTTTGCCAGGCGTCCTTGTCCACGGCGGAGGAGGTGTGGTGGATGGAGGAGGACCCGGTTGCCACCATTAAAGTTTGCAGGCGTGTGTAAAATGTGCTTCGCTGTGGCAGCGAATGGTGTTTGAGCGTTGAGGTCGCGAGCTGTAATTGATGATTGTGTGAGTGTAGGCAATAACGGTGTGGGCTTCTGTTAAGGGCTGTTTTTGTGTTTTTGGAATTTTGTGAAAGGATGCTCGCGATAGGGCTGGCCGCCCAATTTAATGTACATCCTGATAAGTGGAATATATTTCTTTACGGCTACTTTCTATCCTATGGATCTTTGGTTTGCCGCGATGGAAGGAACAAGGTAGCCGATAACAACAAGACGCATTTATTTATTTTTTATTTTTTGCCATCCAACCCGCCCCCTTTTGATGCTTTTCTTGCGGCGTGTTTTTTGTGGCTGGTAGACGTCTGAAGCCTGCCACCTTGTGTGTAATAAATATCGATAAATTGAATAGGGTGCGGCAATGTCACTACGGTGGCCACCCGAATATAATATTTATATGGAGCAAATATCGAGGCCGTGGCGAACCCACTACCAATTCATTACTTTATTTCTTTCCAGTCCTGTTTTTTTCAATTATAACAATTAAGGATCCGGCCAGCATTATAGGAGAATATTTGATTTTTATGATAGATTATGTTATGGGCGGCTTTATTTTGCACCACTTTCTTTTTATTTATTAATTTTTGAGTGTTTGATTTTATTTACTGTTATTTGTTTCGCCATAAACTCTGCACGCAAATGTGCGCCATGTATGCTGAGGGTTTGTGTTTTTGTTTTTTGGTTTTGGGGGATGTGTGGAGGAGTGCGCTCTGTGAGGGTGGGCTGTGGGCACTGAGCGGCATTGGAATTGTAATGACGGCTCTCTTCCGGGATGTTGTATGCAGGCTTAATTGTTTTTTTTTTTATTTAATTAATTCTGGAGTTGCAGGCAACTGCATTCCAAAGTGTAATTAAGAAACACCATACATGCGGGCGTTCTGAGGCGGCGATGGCTTTTGCCGTCGACTGTTGTGGTGCACTTGTGTGGTGGTGGCGTTGTTTTCTTTTTGAAAATTATGATGATTGTTAAGCTTTTGTCGAAGTCTCATTGTGCGCGCATGTGTGTTCCACGCTTGTTTTTTTTTGCTGCGGCTGTTGTTTAGGGAGAGCGGAAGGGTTTGCGACTACTGAATTAGCGGTAGGAAGAAAGAGTTCACGGACCGCAACTTTGCCATGCGGCTGGGAGCTGTGTTATCAGTGTTGTTTCTTTTGGTTCTGGTTGCGTTTTACGGCGTTGGTGTGTTGGCGCAGCGGATGTCTGTGGTGCCTATCCAGTCCAATTTTACGGCGGTGATTTCGGGTTTGCAGTGGCCTCGCGTTTTGTTCCGCCTCGGCGAGAAATGCAGCAGTCATCCTTCTTCCACATCCGTTCCTACTGAATGTACTGTTGTCGGCGACGAGTTGACGCGGTTGCTCGTTAAGGCGCTGAGACCCTCGGTGCACACCGCCATTCACCCCTCGCCGACCGGCATCACTGCTGTTTTTCTTACGCTCCAGCCACATTCATTGCAGCAATCGCTTCAGGCAGAATTTGCGGTGGTGCGCATGTTGGGCGCTGGTTCGCTTGCTCCAGATGACCTCCAGCTTGTTGAGCAAGTAAGACGAGCCGATGTTGCAGGGCTGCGCCTAATTTACGATTCCAATGGTGGGAGCATAGCGGACAATGTCGCCGTGAAAACTGTGCGACGGGTTGAAGAGCGGGCCAGTCCGTGTGGAGACTCTTGCGAGTGGGCTGTCAGTATCGTTGCGCCACTATTTGCAACGGCGCTGTTGCTCATCCCTGTGTTCATGTCTGTTGTACATCTCGAGCGTGCTGTTGCGGTGCGGGATTACTTTCTTGTGGCAAGCCATGACATTGACGACGAACCGCAGCACGTAAATGAGTTTGCCAACTGCGAGGATTGGGGTCCGGTGGAGTTTGTGGACCCCGACATGCTACCGAGGGAAAATGTAGCGGGACATGAGCCTCACATGGATGGAATTGTTGTTTTGCAGCACTTTGTGGAGGAGGATGCTGTGGCTGTAGGGAAGACTCGGAGGCGGAAGTAGAAGGACGAGGGCGTGCAATTCTCTGTTTGTAGAACTCAGTGTGAGTAGGAGGCGGAGCGCAAGGTGCCTTTTAAAGAGGGTTGGCGCAGGTTGGGGGGAGTTGTCTCGCGCCCATTGAAATGTGAATGGTTGTTTTACATAAGCCCAAAAATTTTTGTATGTATATATTTTATATATTTTTTTAAATTTGTCGTCACCGCCTTCCTTTTTGCAGGCATTTTTTTTTTTTTTAACGAATTCATCGTTTTTGACCCTTCATGTTTATTTTTGGCTTTCTTTTCTATTGCCGCCGTCAGAAAACGCTGGTCGTGCTTCTGCTGGTATTTTTTTTAGAAATGAGTGGTGCGACCTTCTCCTGCGCTTTATCGCACCTTTTTGCTGCACTTCTCTGTTTTTTTCTTTGGTTTTCTTGCGTCCAGCCCTGCTTTGAAGCAACGCGACGCCTTGGTGAAGGCGTATGTATACGAAGCACATCTCCTATTTGGAGGCTGCATGTGGCGTGCTGCTGTGGCTGGCGGTGTTGAGTTTGTGCCTGGGCAGGTGATCACGACGGGGACGAACCCGCTGGCGAAGGACACACAGTACGAGGCCATCCAGCGCTTCCAGAAGGTGATGCGGGCATATCTGACGCACAGTGGGCAAAAGTACTATGCTGACAAGGACCATTTTCTGAAGGATGACGTCGACGGTGAGATGATGGTTGCTGGGTGGATTGCTGGCGAGGTGCTCTCACAGGCGCTGGGCAGTCGTGAGTGGGTGAAGGACCGCAAGTCGTTCTTGGCGTCTCTGTACAACCAACGCCGGTATGTGGTTGACGACATTGTGATTGGCGACTACGGTGGCGAGTGCGAAGCGGGTGTATTGAGCAATTTGTGTATCCATTTCTTAGGGCCTTTTTTTTCTGTGTTTTTATTGATTTTTTTTGTGTTGGGTTTTATAAAGTTTCTTTTTTTTTTTTTTTTTTGTATGTGTTGCTTAGTTATTTTGTGTAGGGAAGGTTAGTGTGGAGGCACGGTCTGTCTCTGGCGTTGGTATTAGCTTATATGCATGGATTGGAACAATTTTATCTTTTAAACTTCAATTTATTGCCTATTATTAGCATTATTATTGTATTGTATGGACGAAAACGTCTCGCTTTTTTGCGGTGGGCTTTTTCACATGCCACGGGGGACGTCGTTTTGTGTTTTTTTGCTGCAGCAGTTTCTTGTGTTTGTTGGGTTGTTGTTTTCTCCATGTCATGCGGTGCAGTCCGATTATGCAAAGTACGTTGAGGCCGCTGATGGGGGTGCGTTGGGGTCGTCTGCGTTTGGTCTAGAGAACTCGCTGGCGAGTATCGTTGACTGTTTTCCTGGGGTGATACTTTTGCCCAGCAACACAACGTACTACTGCGAGATCAACGGCATTGCGGCCTTTAAAGAGTCGGTGCTGTTGTGCGCCTCGTACTACACCCGGGACGGTAGACTGTTTGGTGGTTGGCCGGCGACTGTGGAGGGGGCAGGAAACTTCATTTCGTTTATCCCTGGGACTGCAGCGCCCTCCGGTTTGATAGCGCTTGTCATCACGGAATACAATGCGTTGTTGAATCCACCTTTTCTGCCCGTAACGACAAACAAGACGATGGAGCTTTGGGACAGTGAAAATACCCACACGTCCTTCTTTGCACCCTTTCCCTATTATGGATTACATGCATCTTGGGAGATGAACATACCGAAGAAGTATGTTGTTGCTGGTAGTTTACTTGTCCGCGCTGGGGTAGAGTGCCAGTCCATCGCGAAGAACTGTGGTGCAGAAGTTGGATGTTACAACGTCACCGAGTCCCATCTTCTTCCTTTGCCTGGCAACTACTCACTCTGCGTGACGGCGGATGGCTGGCGAGGCCATTATCTACCGTGGGGCCAATCCTACCTTGAGGTGAAGGCAGTGGTGGCGAACCCGTTGTATATAATGAATGGAACATTGACAGCCATCACACTGAAGGATGCAAGAATAGGCAGTAATTTGCCTCGGGTACATCAAGTGTTTCTGGTGCCATGCTTGGGTGACTCCTGCTCCACGAAGGAATTGTTTTCATATGAAAAAGTGGTTGACATCGGTGCGTGTAGAAAGAGCCGCCGTTCCGATCGTATACATTACGTGGAAGGCTGCCCAGTTTCTTTAAAGCCTGGGAATTACGCTGTGTGCGCTGAACTTTTTTCTTGTGACGCCAATTCTGTGGATGTGGACTCGTGTGACGTGACTTCTTCTGCGCTGTCTGTGACCGTTTTTCTGAGTCCTTTTACACTTACATTCATACATGTGTCCATTGACACGTTGGTGATTGGACTGGCTGGCGGCGACCTTGGCTTCCGAAGTGTGCCATACGATGTGTGTCTGCTGCCCAGCGCTGCAGCATGTGATTTGGAGCTTGGTGCTGCGTATTTATGTGTAACAAGCTCCACGCCAAACTCACTTTTGCTGGAAATCAACCGAAGCCGTGCTCAGTTACCTGATTCTCTCACCTTGTGTCTTGTGGCAGTGAACGCGACATTTTTGGGTCATCGCTACATGTGGATTCAAACGCTGGCGAGCGTCACGCTGACGAATCAAATGAATGCTTCTGATGGGCGATGCTGTTCAACGGCCGTTGTCGCTGGGATTGTCGTGGGCGTTGTTATCTTCACTTTTCTTTCAGTAGTCGCACTGGTTGTTTGCCACCTACACTCTCGAAGGGCACGTGTTCTGGCCACCCGTGCTGGGTGCGAAGAGGCGCCCTCGCTGCATCCGGCGGCCGTGGCTGGAAGGCACTCGAACCCCCTTGCGGTGCCGCATTGCAATCGAACGGAGAACACTTCCATTCATTCAGTCCATGGCGGGGAATTTTCCGAAGTCGGGGTGCCACCCACATTTATGTCTCTTCTGCCCATAGTTGATGATGAGAGCCGGCATTCGTCCCTCAGAAGTGGCCACGTATTAGAAGAAGGTACCTCGGCGGCTAGCAGCACCCACCGTGCCGTGTTGCCAGAGAGTAGGAGGATGCCCCCTGTGATGCGTGAGGGGAATGTGATCCCATACGAAATCCAGTCAGAAACTTTTGCCTCCGAAACAGTGGAAGAGATGCGTGCATTTACAGCCAGCAGTAACTTTTCGCAATTTTCTGGCGCAACACAATTTAGGGTACAAATGAGTCTTACCAGGAACGGCTTTCAGCTGTCGGATCGCACCACTTCCTTCGGTACCGTGCGGGAGTGGGGTGCTTCCCCGCATACATCTGTAATTGGGTCGTCTGCGAACGACTGCAATGCATCATTACAGCCATGTGAATTGTTAGTTTGTTCATCATCTTCTTTAAATGCTTCCCGTCTCGCCCTCGAGGCTCAGCCGGAACCCGGTGATTCTTCGCTTTGGGCGTGCGCTGATGGCAATGCGCAAGGACACACGGTCGGAGCACGACCCGCTTCCACGCCCCCCGCCTTTGTAAACGACACGCTCAGTCCCTTTTCGCATCATAGAGAGTGTCCGTGTCTGCTGATGGCAGCGCAAGGTTACCAAAATTCGGCAAACGAAGGGACCGCTCTGACGTGCAGCGATGAGCATCAAACTTATGAAGGGCGTGAGCTACCGGAGGTGCATGCACCGGGTGCCGGAAACGCCACCAATGGGGATTCCAGTCGACATCTGGCACCAGTATTACTGAGAGAAGAAGGAGAGGAGTCTCTGTCCCCGCTGGGGGTTGACGCAGCCACCGCTAATGAAATAGGAGACGACGCGTGTTTGATGCTTGCCAGCGTTGCTCCTAAATACGATTCGGATGATGTTGCACGGACAGCTTCTTCATTCTCCACCGAGACTGTTTCTCTCTCCGCATGTGAACCGCTACCACGTATTATTTGCATCGATATTATTGAATATTGTCCATACCTGACTTTTTGCGAATTCTGTGAGTATTTCTCATCAACGGAGAGCACCACTTCCATTGGAGAAAGCGAATGTGACACTGCCGACAGCCAAAGCTCCTTGATTTGAGGTCTCCGGAGTGGTGGACACATGTGGATGCCGGTTGAATCCACCCTTTACCAACAACAACAGAAAAAGCACATATGTTTTGTGCGTAAGACCGACACTTTGGGCCACCGTTGCACTTCATTTGGTGCTGTTGTTGTTGTGTGAGCGGACGGTGGTCTGCTGTTGAAAGGCGGTGGAGAAATTTTTACGAATGCTGCTCACACAGGGAGATGATGACTTGTTTTCTGACATCTCCACGTGTTTTTGTTCACATTATTTGTTGTTGTCTTTTGTATTATTTTTGTTTTTTTTTTTCTTTGAATTTGATTATTGACATTTATTTATTTATTTTTTCGGGCTTTTCTGTTCGTAAATATTGAACGTTGAGTGGCTTTTTTGTTCATGGCAGTGCCTTGGCGTGACTCACTGGCCCGCTGTTGCCCATCCCATCGTCTGCCATGTGGACTTTCTTTTTTACCGTCTTACCGGTGGCAATGCCATTACGACATGCTTCCAAGAGAGGATGGGGCGAAGTGGCAGGACGGCAATGAGCACAACGAGAAGCGTGACACACTCTCCTTCTTTGTATAGGAGCCTTTGGGAGGGGAGCGACGTTGAGGCTGTCGTTATTTTATTTTATTTTTTGCCACCGTCATATGTGAACTTTTTTTTTTTGCTTTGATGGATATACATATATATGTATTGCGCATTTTATCTGCACGCTGACGGCTCTTGTCGACATTTGCAGTTGCGTCTCCCGTGTGGTGCAGCGACTGTTTCTGGCGGTGTGACACTTCTATGCTTTCTGCCTTTGCGACTTCTCTTTAATACATATTTTTAAGCGACTTATGTGGGAAGAGTGTGTGCGCCCAGCTGAGTCCGAGTACATGAGAGGGCGCGTGTTTTGTTTAATTACCCTCCGCCTTCTACTTAAAGGTAACTTTTTGTTTGCTTTAATTCAAAGTACCGTGCTGGGGGGCAGTGAGTAAGACTTTTCTTTTTGTTTCCCCCCTCCCTTCCACCCGGCCCACCCTCCTTTTTTGTGCTTCACGCGGAGGGGCCCTGCAACCGTCGGACACTTTTAAAAACGCTGCCGCCTCGTGGGCTCGCGATGTGCCCGGTTGTGGTGGATGGATGTATGAGCCCGTTGGTCCACTGCTCTGCGTGTGTGTGTGTGTGTGGCTGTGCTGGACAGGTGTCGCTTGAGGCGTGAGGGGATGTTGGGTGCATTGAGCCCGACTGTTTGCCTTCTCTTGTTGTCTGCTCGCACTCTCTGCGGGAATGAAGGAAGAAGGGGACCGTGCCTCATCCGGCTGCACATTCACTGTTTTTACTGCCTGCCGGCTTTTCTCCCTTAATTTTTGTTTTCTGCCTATTTCCCCGTAACGTGCCATTCATTTTATTTTGTGTGTTTTAGTTCGATTTGTTGAGTTGAGCGTGTCTTTGTTTTGCGGTACGCGGGTGTGTGTGTGTGTGTGTGTGGGAGAAGAGCAACTCTGCGAGAATTACAGGAGGAGTTTTAAATACCATTTGGCAAATATGGGGGTGTCTTTGAAAAGAAAAAAAAACACTTCGTTAGCTGGGAAAATTGCCGTACTCATAAGTTTTTTTTTTTTTTTTTACATGTCGACATATAAATAGATATATAGATATAGATGCATATATAAATGGATATAAATATATATATACATGTAGTTTGTTGTATGCTGATACGTTACGGTGAAGTTTAACGGCTGCTTGCCTTTTATGCTGCATGTCTATTACTGCCTGTTGCATGTACTTTTCTCTTCCTCTCTCTATGTATATATTCTTGTTTTTTGTAGATGGGTCTCTTGTGTGGTACACATGCCAAGCATACGTGATAGGGAGGCGAGGGAGTCAACCCCGCTTGAGCAGACGTTTCAAGGAGAGGAACGGCGCAGACGTGGGAAGAAAGGGAGGGCAGTTGTGTACGTGAGTGACTTTATGCCACCACCTCCATCCTCGCCGTCGGTGGTGCCGCGGCGGTCCCAAAATTGTCCACGACAGGGAAAAGAGGACGAAGAAAAGTTGTTGCGTGCTTCAGGGTCGGGGCGGGCTGAGGTCCCTAACCGTGAAAGGAAGGGACGCAGGGCGCAGCTTGTTTCAGGTGCATTGACGGCCTTCCCGCCGGGGGCATGCCTGAAGAAACCCACGGAGGCATCATCACGCACATGGCAGCTGCACCGAAAAGGCAAGCGGAGAAACCCTGACACACCGTTCAATCATCGTGCGCAGTTTTCCAAACTGAAGCGGACAATCTGTGAGGTGCGGAAGGCCGTCTTTGAATCTCTCGGGAAGTCTCAGGACGGCGTTTCTTCTTGCGGGAAGTGTGTGAACATGGAGAGAAATTCAACGGAGCGTGAAACCCTTGTTGAGGAAGCGTCTGCAACATCCGTTGACGCATCCGCATGTTTTAGTTCAAAGCAGAGGCAGCTGCTGCGAATGCGGTGTCTTGTGACGGATATGGAGCGGGTGTACGGACAAATTCATAAGACAATGCGGCAGAAGCACTACGCAAGGGCGAGACAACACATGAATCAAATCCGACAGCTGAAGAAGCGTCTAAATACTGCGGCGCTAAAGTGGCGCTTGAGTACCGTGGCAGAAGTGGAAGCCGATGCTGCCATTCATACCCCTCGCCCGCTGCACCACGCGGTGGATTTGTCCGGGCGCGTTGCGGCAGTTTCAGCGGCATTCAACGATCTCCAGCACGATGAAGATGTCGACGGTGCGGCGGACTTAACCGACGAACCGAATTATGTCAACTTTTATCCTTCACTTGCGCAGATGGGCGTTGGTTGCCACCCTCTTGCTGAATGGATTGATCGGCGAAGCCAAAAGTACCCACGGCGACTTGGGAAGGAGGAAATTCCCCGCCTCATTGAGGGCGGATACGAGAATGATGAGGAGAAGCGCATCTTCTCTACGGGACCTGCGGTGCCATCACCAGTGAAATATGTTGCAACGTGCTGCAAAAACATTATAACCGATGCCTTGGATGATCTTGTCTTTACAATACTACAAAAGCAGTATCATTTGCAGCGACGCATGAAGAAGGAGAAGCCGCTGCAGTTTAAGGCGAGACGTTTCTATTCGACCGGACTTCGGGAAACACTGAGGGGACTCCGGGCGGCTGCCACGCGTATTCCTGTTGTGCTTATTGCCTCAGATATTGAAGTTCATGCTTCTTGGAATTCGGAGGGGCGTTGCGATGAGAAGAGGGTGGCTGAGGCGGACAGTCACGAAGTGCGCTGTGGAAAAAAAAAGACGGTGCAAGAGATGGGCATGGATGGGACACTGGAGGAGATCCGCGCACACTGCGAATCGCACGGTATTCCACTTATCACATGTATGAGCCGTCATCGACTGGCCTACGCTTTGTTTGCGAAGGGCTGCACCGTCTCTGCAGTCCTACTGCACTCAGCGGAGGGGGTGCACGAAGAGGTGAGGGCACTGCGGCATTACGCGCAGCATCTTTTCGAGGCCTTCGCGGCCATTTCGGCGACACACCAGAACATTCCTCCTGCGTCATGAACGGCGAAGGAATTGCAGAAGAAAAGACCGAAGAAAAACAAGCAAAGCAAGTTTTTTGTTTTTTGTTTTATTCTTTTTTATAACATCCTTTTTAAATTGCTTTTTATTTAATTGCTTTTGGACTCTTGTTGATTTTTTTTGTTTGAATTTTTTTTTTTTGCTCTTTTTCGTCTAGTGTTGGTGCTGGCGTGAAGCAGCGCTTCTTGTTGCGGGTTGTGCGGGGAGTGCGATGTCACTGCGGCCAAGCATTTTTCGCCTGAGCAAGACGCTAACGAAGGCTCAGCAGCTGCTTTTGAGTGCCACGGCCGACAGGGCGGGTGCATGTGGTTTAGAAGAAGAGAAACGAGCCGAGTTTTTGAGGTATATTCGTCGTTTGGGGGTGTTGTTGTCCTCCGTGGAGCTGCGGATGACCGCATTGGATGATGATGGCGGTAGGGATGAGGCGGTCGCGCGCCTTGTTTCCGCCGCCAAGAAATTTTTGTCGGACGTGTTGCTCTCAGCGCATGGACGACAAGGCGGCATTCCTCTGTCATGTGTGGGCTTGTTGTGCCGGGAACGATCTCCCAAGCACCCGTTTGCCGTGAGTGAGCCATTTTTGGTACAAGAGGACCTCCGCGGCATGAGCGAGACGGCATATGTATTCCCTTGCATGTACCACCACCATAACGAGGCATCCAATCCGCAAGAAATATCGACGTGTTTACGGCTCAATGATGCGAACACTCACGCCCATTCCGTGCCGACCGCGACTGGAGAAGAGGCGGCGCACGCGAAGGTGATGGAAGACATTCGTGAGGCCATTAAAGGCATGAAGGAAGGAGTTACTCGTATGAGCGACATGATGCAGCAGGAGCGGCTGCGACTGGATGCAAACTCGGAGTTGCTGCAGCGCGGTGTGGATGGTACCTCAGCGCAGTCACGTCATATGGATCAATTAGGTTACGCGTTTGGCGGCGGGCCATCTCTACCACGTTGTCTCTCTTGTATACCAGGCGCAAAAATATTTTGGCAGACAGTTGTTGCGCCCATGTGGGTGGTTATTAGACAGGCCATATTTTTATTTATGATTGTTGCAATAACATGCAGCGTGTTGCTATTGATGGTAACAGCCCCCAAAACATACGTATATGTTCGCTAATCTCATTTCTCTTCTTGAGTCTCGAAGGCATTTATACAACTTGTGCTCAACTCTTTTTTTTTTTTTTCTGTGTAGTCACGTATGCGTGCATGTACGTATGTGTGTATGCGTCCCATATTTTCTTTGTTCTTGTGAGAGGAGCTTGTGGCAGATGTCGTGGGGCATTTTGCTTTTTTTTGCGTTGCGTGAACCCGATATCTTTAAAAACCGTTCTTTTTATGTCACATTTTTTTTTTTTTGCATGGTACTCAACGCCACGACGGGGCGGCCGCGGGAAACTGTTGGCGACAGTGTCGAATTCGTTAACAAAGGCAAATGATTTCTTTCATATCAACACTGTCTGAGGCGCAGCCACGTCTTGTGGAGGACACGGAGGGAGCACGCGAGGGATCTTTTGGGAAGATGTCGGCGCTGGCTTTCGATGTGGTGTTCACCGGGGTCATATATCTTGGCTTCTCCTTCTACGAGCGTGTTGTGTGTCCGCTGGTTGGATCCGTGGTGAAGGACCGCCTACCGGACCGCCCGCAGTGCCTCCGGTCGCTCACGGTGAGGGACAAAATTTACATCAACTTCGCCAAGGTCGTCACGGCCCTCTTTGTGTACCACACATACCAGTTTGTTGTCCGCACCGACGTGAGCGGCATGTGCGTGGACTTTATGGACGGGCCGGCAGTTCTTCGCTCCGTGGCGTGGATGCCGCTGCACCTCGTGGCGCTGTTTATTGTCTACGACTTCTTCTACACCCTCTTCCACTGGGCGCTGCACTGGCCGCCCATTTACCCCCTCGTCCACAAGCACCACCACCGCCAGGTGACGCCGTTTCGCGGCGTTGACGACGCCATCAACGTCCACCCGTTTGAGTACGTCACCGGGGAGTATCTGCATCTTTTTTCGCTGTACCTTCTCAGCCGCGTCACACCAGTGGGCCAGATGCACGCACTGACAGCTGTGGTCTTTATCTTTGTTGGTGGCACACTGGCTGGCCTCAATCACACCCGCGTTGATCTGCACATCCCCTACGTCTTCAACGTCCGGGCCCATGACCTGCACCATTGCA